TCTATATTGTTAGGATGGTTTGAAAGCCCCGGTATGTTTTCGATTCATAAAAATATATAGGACAGAGATATAACGATAACAATAAAAAAAGAGGTGGTTTTGAACCAGATATTTAATTAAAGTAGTTATTCTTATGGTAGTATGAAATTTGTAACAATTTATCACATTTAACATATACGCGAGTTGTCATGCATTCTTTGTATTTGCATCTATTATTTTGTAACGTTAAGTCAGTTATTTGTTTGATCTTAGCCTCTTCTAGATTTTTCTCAGTCTCAGGGAATGTATGTTGGTATGGTTCGTACCAATAAAAGAAAGCAAAAGGTAAACAAACACACGGTTACCGATTATTCTAACTGCTTATTAATCACATCCTGTTCGCGAAAAACTACTTGATTAATATCTCTAACGTCCTTTTAAAGATAATTTTAAAGTTTAAATCGAAACAACGATTATAACTTTGGACATCGATTGTAAAGTTAGTTATCTGTGGTAATTGGTGATGGGTAATAGTCAAACGTGATGACCGAAATAGTGACAAGCGAGTGACTAATGGGAAAAATATTCGGAAAGAAAATATGTGATAGAGTACAAATCCAGTGAGTTAAAAATTTAAAGATTTACACTTCTCTTCGTTCATACCCAAATTTTCACATGTCAAAGTGTCATGGCGGATGACTAATATCAATGGCACACGTGTGTTTGCCTTTTGATTTTTTTATTGAAACGGACACTAAGTCTCTTCGTTGCCTTACAAAATATATTCTTCGCATGGAACGATTATAAATGTCATAAAAATATTTGAAGGAGATATTTTTTTTTTTTCATTGTGATTAATATTTTATACTGTTCTTAATACTAGATACTATTCGAAGCAATATTTTTAATACTTAAACCACTAAGAGTACAATGATTATTCGTTTATGGTTTCACACAACTCGATATTATTCATTCAGAGATATTTTCGTAAGTATTACTTGTAATAAATCTTTTTCTTTTTTTTTGTACAATATAGGTAAAAGACCTGCGTTTCCTTTCGCGTAACGATCACAGCGTTTGTGCGTGACAATGTCTGACTGAGATTAAAATGTTCATATAAACTAGTTTTAGTCGATTATATAAAGAAGACAGAACTATAAGAATCTTTATTAAAAGTGTTATAGCGACATTGGCTCGTTACAATTATTTGATTCAATTAACTTGGTTTACATAATTGTATAGAACAAATTTAAAATCTTGATGCAATTGGCGAATGGAACATAAGAGAATTGATTTTTAAATCTAATCGAATTGATAGAATAGATATTACAGAAGGAAAAAGCAAGCAAAAATAAAACAGACTCTACAATGAAACCGGTCGCATTCAGTCTATGTGTTTCACATGCAAATTGAGTACTGTGGGGACGGACTATTTTCACGCTACGATAAATAATAATTTTGGCTGCGTTAGAACTAATGTTGCTAATTATATACCGATCATCAATTTCTTTCCGCACGTTCGTTGGCCTGTGTATTCGCGTCCGCCGATTCGCGCGCTTTCTGACAGTTGACAGTTGCGTATGTTGAATATTTAATCTGTGCACTAAATTAACGAGCCATTATGTTTCGTGTAGTGCGACGTTGTTTAGGCCGCTCACGATAAATGCATTTGTCGATTATTGGGAAATTGGAAAAAAAATAATTTTCCCACGCGGCGATCGCGAGCAGTGTTCTTATACCTACTTATCATGTTCTTATACCTCTCATGCACATTCCCTAACGATAGCTGTGTGGCACATTGTATAATAGGACTGTATTTGATACAGTGTCTTGAGATTTTCACTCTCTTAAAGCTATATAGTTGATATAAATTATAATATGTATCTTTAATACTTCGTTACGATTGCTTTGTGCATTGATTTCTTAGAAGGACAGTAGGTAGACGTGGTGTTGGCGATATTTACAATTGTTCCCACGTGACGCTATGACTAGATGTTTCGATTTAGTCTCTGCATTTCCCTCGCACCAAAACTACACTAAAACTCGGATGTCACATTCTGGCTCGCGTCGCCAATAATTCTTTACGCTCTCGTAAACGATGGAATGTCATACAGAAACATATTTACATTTGTAATCATAACTCTTATTAATTCAAGATTCACTCGATGGCATTCGATAGATTTTTAACATGTAGCATATATTGGATACGCTCATAAAAATAAAGGTGGGAATGTATGCCAACATGTTTTTGAATGAAGTTAAAGACAATATAATTCAAATACCAGAGTAAGTAACAATAATCGATAACTATCGAGCAAATCTTTCGTTTAGAAAATGACTATTCTAATGATTAACGACGAAATTTCCCCTAAATATTTTTGCTAAAGTTTTTGTTTATAGGATTTTATTTGAATTATTGGCGAGCGCGCAAATTCTATCTACGTTTAACTTTTAGATGTAACAAATCACACATCCCCTTTCACAATTAACTACGAGATAAATTCGTTTATTTGAGATTTGTTGCCAGTAAACATATCGATCGGCCGTTCTCAATATTCCCTATGTGTTATAATACAATCGCTACGGGCGATAGTTCCCCAAAGCCATCGACTACTCTGTATTGATAGACTTGTGAACAAAGGTGGGGGCTCATAATTGATATATCCATAGACTAGTGTATGAACACAGACAACATTCAAGATTTGATGTTAATAGAAAATTGACTGTTGCACAATAACAAACGTACATTTTTAAATAAATTGTAAATTTGTATCGATCAAAAGGTCTTTTAACATTTGACATAATATGATATCAAGTTTATATCAAAAGCTATGTACACGCAGTAGAAGGATAGATAATCTACACAAGTATATTCTGTGAACGATTATGTCAAAATATATTTTAATATAACTTACATACCACTGAATCTGTGATTTCAATGATACCATTACTAAAATAGCATGTCACGAAACCGATACGCGTACAGCGCTGTTCGTGTCAGGAACTTTGTAAGATCGAAGCGATCATTTCAAAACGGCACGTGCGTTTCGAAGGTTACATTGTAAAACGTTTAAACTTAGTTAAAAGCCGTTCCGTGGAATTATGGCGATTTTTATAAATTTTAGGCCATATTACGCATTTAAATTTTCTAAACATGGCGATAGATTTAATCTATAAACAGTGTAGCATCTAACTGATAAGATCGAATTGTCAACAATTAAGAACATTCCTTATAGCTACGGAGAATACCTAATAAAAATTTATATTATAAAATTGTCATCTTATATGTCGACGATGCGATAAAATTAACTTTAAGATGGTACATATTTACCAGTTCGACAGAAAGGCTGTCAAATTTTCGCGCCATATTTTGCGCACAGATAAAAATGCTCTTTTATATCACTGTTTGCACAGGTTGTGTGGTTTATCACAATCTTTTTTTAAATTCTTTTTTTATACAGGGAAGTATTTTGTACGTCGCAATAGATATCTGCAATTAAATCAATTCCTTTACAGAATTGCGAAGATAATTATATTTATCAGGTACATTTGCGACAGATCCCTTTTCAATTAATATCTATGGGATATTTTTAGTCTATTCCCATCGATGTCTACTGTCTATTAACTACAGACAACACAACCTGCATACAGAGATGGACTGGAAGCCTAACTGGTCGTAAACAAAATCTAACGACCAACTATTTATGAAAAACTTATAAGAAAATAAAACAAAGCTTAAGAAGAAAAATTAAAACCAAATTGAACACGTAGGAACAAAAATTACTGAAAAGTTGAACAAACTAAAAATAACCACAGTAAAACTTATAGAAAAAGAAAAAAAAAGAGCCTGGTATATTCCTAAGCAAATACCGGCTAAGTGATTCATTAAACCTAATTTGATTACACAACAAATAATTTTGGAATATAAAGCGATTTTTTTTCTCCAAGACTTAGTACACTAACTAATTTAATATAATTTTGCTACGGTCCTGTTGTGTTTTAAACCAACGACAATACACCGAATCACTAACAATCAATGGTGTGATATTACAAAAAACGATATCTGATCCACCGTTGGCTATGCAAACGATGATTAATTAAATCTTACAGATATTAACAAATATGAATCATCTTTTAGTTCCCGGTGTTTATTAATCATAACATTTAATTATTTTATAGACACTATAATTCAATTATCTATGAGGACATTTAAGATTTTCTTTAATGGAATCGCGATAGTGTCTTCAATAATCCATAACTTTTGAAGGATTCCAAAATTTGATTTATTTTATTTATTAAGAAGTTTTATATAATATATGCCTCTACTCTTCAATACACATTGCGAAAAAAAAGTAATATGTACGTTTTATAAAATCTTACCGATTCGATTTTCCATAAGCGCAGAAATTCAAGAATTCTTACTTAGCTATCTATTTGTTCCATAGAAGAGGAGTCCACCATGGCCGTCGACGTTTCCAGAAGTGGTATGCAGGCCTATGAAGGGTGAATAAAGAGACAACGCCGACGCAACATGCGGTGCGTAGCTTCATAACGCGTGAAATTTGAATTTCGAATACGATTTTTTTTTATCCACGCGGCGGTGCAGAAAGGAAAAAGAACTACGATTGCCTATACGAAACATCGATCAATGAGAATCTCGTTCAATTGAATCGCCGTTCAATATTTGAATATCGAATCTTATTTCAAATGGCATAATAATAATCCGGAAAGAACAGACGCGCACTATTGATTCGAAAGTTGAAAATTCGAACATCGCGCCCGCTTCGTTCCGACCCATCGCGACGGCACGCAACCAGAAAAGAGCTGCCCATAGATAATTAGGCTGTGGCGATTTCGAATAATTTTAAAATTCGAATATCGCATCTGGCGTTCCGTCGCGGCGGATCGGAGCGGGGCGGGCGGCGCGTCGATTCGAACGGCCGTTCCAAATTTGAATTTGAATGCGGGATAGTGGTTTTATTTTTTTGTTTTTTTTTTTCTCGTCCCTCCGCTCTTGCTTACGTGACGCCTAGCGGGCGGCGCGCCTCGTGCAGTATGTAGGCGGTGCGCTGGTCGGGCGTCGCGTGCGCCCTCAGGCCCGGGTGCAGCCGGTGCCACGCCGTCGGCCGCCACCTGTACGACGTGTACTCGTTCACCTGCTGCGGGTTGGAGACGATTTATTGGTTACGCGCGTTGTGTGTAAAAGGAAAATGCATTTAATAATACTGTATACTTATAAGAATATTTTTCAGTGATTAGGATGACACAGCAATCAAAACACAATTGAGTTTCTCTGTAAGTAAAGATTTATTGTAGGATTTTGAAACTATTACATAAATAATAATTAAAATAACAAAAATAAAAGATATTACTATTAAAACTTTACCTGTAAGTAAAGAAACGACATTTAATGTTAATAATCATTGTCTGTCTGTGAATGTCGATTCCTAAATCACTATTTTACTTATTAAATACTTTTGTAATAAGATTATTTTGATGAATTGTTTCTATGACACCTTAATTCTTTTTTCAGTTATAATTCGGCGTCAAACATAGTTTCTAAAATAAATTTTATCAATGGCCGGTGTGCGAAAATATTTCAATTAAAGAAAATATTTACATAAAAGAAAACAATATTTATCTTTACATACTTTTGAATTGCTCATTTTCTTCTTTTATTGTATTTCAATTTCTTTTCGTTATCATAATTATTTTAGGAGATTTCTCGAAACAACATTTATATTTTCAACCAAAAAAATTCGAACCGAGATAGACATAGAGAGAGAAACGGACGCATAAACTCAAATATGGGATGAACACAGAAACGAAGCAAATTTAAACAAAGACGCAAAGTTCACCGACACACCTGCAAACACAAACTCACACGCAACATACATGAGCATCGACACTTCGGCGGAGACACGTAGGGACACAGGGAAAAGGGCACAGACTAAACACACGCAGCATAAATACAGAACAACACACATACGCAAAGCCCAACGATGCACCCGCACACACAAGTAAAACGCACAAGACATAGAGAAACGGACATACATACAGTCAGACTAAAATTTTTAGCACACAGTTTAATGATATTGAAGCATGTAGTACACATGTGTAATTTTTTAGGGGGACAGTGTGTATAAGTTGCCATTATTAAGATTATTGTACATTTGCCGTTCTATGTACCAAATAAAATAAAATTAAAAATGCGCACATATAGACAGAACCACACACGGACGCAAATCCCACCGACACACCCACACACATAGAGAAACTAACGCATAGACCGATCCACGCTAACATACGCAGTCACAGACAGAACCACCCACACACACAAACGCGCAAAGCCCGCCGACACGACACACACGCGCACATAGGCAAACTCACGTGCACGAAGTGGTGGTCGAGCGGCTGCGGCGCGTCGCCGACCAGCACGTGCGCCGCCGACGGCTGCGCCCTGGCGACCCTGCGCCCGAACGTGCCCTGCACGGACGAGATCTCGAGGTGGCGCAGGGTCTTGCGCAGACGCACGAAGCCAACGACGTCGTACTGCCACACCCAGTAGCCTGCGAGGTTGAATAAAACTCTGTTAGGGACGCCGCGTCCAGTACAGCGTTGGGCGTCCGATGTTAGGGCGGCCACATACATATGCGATATCAAAACGTGTTAGGGCTGTCCCAAATATAACCTGGTCGCGATATTGATCGTAACCCCGTTAAGGGGTCATGTTTTTGTAGCAGTTTTAACCCCCTTGGTGTTAGGTGGTGAAGTTTAAGACTACCTCCCTCACCCCGTCCCCCACTCAAAATCTTAAAATTTTTTAGCATATTATCTTAAAACACGCATAGTCTATCTAGTTTTATTCTGAAATTAAGGACCATGATAAAAATCTAACGGCGAGTCAAGGTACACGCCGGTTTGTGGTTTGGAAATCGCTCGTGACAAAAAATAAATACATTTGATATTTTGCTACAGAAAGGGGCAAAAATCACGAAATATTACAAGGTCCCCCGCCTCCGTGTAATATTTCGTTATTTTTGCTTAACCCCCTCCCCCCTTTCGAACCTCATATTATGATTAACGGACGGCCCCTGAGGACGCCGCGTCCAGTACAGCGTTAGGCATGTGTTACTAGGGCTGCCACAAATATAGCTTGGCCGCGATATTGAAACATATATGTTAATAGGGGTGCCTCAGTATGCGGCATCATCAGCATTCTGATTGTGCCAGGGCCACGCAACAGGTAGGGAAGTACCACGTGCTCACAGAAGACCAGTGTGAAGTGGAAGTGTCGTAATGCGTTTCTTCCGGTAAGTGAGGTAGCCGGTACATCATTTTCCATGCACCATGTTTAAGTAGTGGGAATCGAACACACAGGCTCTGGTGCAAGGGACTGGTTCACTATGCAATAAGGCAATGGGGTCGTCAGTAAGTGAGCATACCGTGTATAACAAGTCGCCTCAGTTGCGCACACTGCCAGCATATTAGTATCAGAGGGTTCACGTTGCACGCGTCGTACTGAAACGAAAGTTTCTAGGTTAAATACGAAATTTTTTGTACTTTCACTTTACAAGAGATTAATGCCCGTTTTCGCCATCGATCCCTAACGTTAAGGGACCCCCTAAAAAAATTTTATGTCACGCTTAAGGCTTTAAGTTACACTTAAGCGTTGGTAAAAAGCATAAGTTCTTTTGATGAAAACAGTTTGGACGATATATAATGTTGGTCACAACAAATTTTAATGTTACACCTTAAGTGCAGAGATCATAGACCAATGGCGACATCTTTCGTTCGAATTATCCTTGTAAAACTACATTTGATCTTTTTGGAAATGCGAAAAATCAATTTAGATAACAGACGTTGAGATTTTCTTTGGCCGTTTTTTCGGACAAATTTCAAGTTTTCACATAAATCATCATCCTCTGCTCTTATTTCACGTAGGTGGGGTCGGCCCAACACGTGATTCGTGTTGTAAGTGGTTTCGGATACCGGATTTTGAACCATTTGTTTTACCAGGTTTCAGCACTTCTCTCTTTTCGACATCTGTGACGAACAAGTGTAAGTGGTTTTAGCTATGTTTTTGACTATTGGGCGCCTGCCTGATGTCAAACTTGGGAACAATCACCCAGATCCGAAACTATCTGTGGCTAGCACAAATACTTGTCCCATGTGGGAATCGAATCCACGATCCACGACCCCGACGCCGAAGCCTGACAAATAGCTAAGCAACAGCGCCATCTAGTCATCAACATCAGTTGTCAATAACGATGACCGTACATCCTCCGCACCTCCACTCTCCGGAACAACTATCCGTGGCTCACAGAAAAATAGATGCCCCGCGTGGGAATCAAACACATGACCCCTGTCGCCGAAGCCACAATAACTTAGCAACAGCGCCATCTATCCGTCAACATTGTCGCGCAAGCCAACAGCTTGACAACACCGCCATCTATCCATCAACATAGTCGCGCAAGCCAATAGCTTAGCAACAGCGCCATCTAGCCGTCAAGGTTGTCGATAACGACGTACATCCTCCTCGTCTCCGCCCTTGGGCCTGGTCTCCGGACACTCGCTGGGGCAGTCCACCCACACCAGCTCCTTGAGGGTGTTCTTGAAGAGCGACGCCAGATGCCTCAGCAGCGGGTCGTGGAACTGGAACGAGGAGCGGACATTAGCGGCGCCGTTCAAGTAATACTGCCACTTTTGTTATGGCAATATATAAATATGGTTCATGAGACGAAATAATAATAATAATAATGATAATAATAATAATGTATTTATTTGCGAAATATAGGTTAGGCATGAGGTGTACAACACAGTAATTTTTATCGCTATATTCTACCCATTTTGTAGGGTGTGCAAATATGATATGTTCGCTTAAAGGTTGTCAGTATACATTCTCAAATTTCTTAATTATTATAATCATAAAATAAAATTGAAAAAATTATATAACAGAATATTAAAATAATATTAAAACATATGTCTATGAAAAAAGTAAGTTAACAAACAGTAATAATAGAACAGAGAACAAAATGACAAATAATTAAATGACTAAAAAAATATAAAAAATTCGATAAAATTGCACATTATTAATTCACTGAATACGTTTAGATTATTAATTTGATATAAATTCGTTTATACTGTAATAACATTTTTCTGTTAACATGTCGCGTAGTTTTTTTCTTAAATAGATTTGTGTTTAATTCCTTCATTTCTTTCGGGAGCCTATATATATTTTTGGTGCCATGCAGAGTATACTCTTGCTCATAAGTTTAGTATTAGTTTTAGGTAAACAAAGTTTGTGTAAGTCACGTCTGCTTCGCTCATGGTTGGGCTTGGAGAAAAGAGACAAGTTATTTTTTACAAACATCGCACTCTCAAATATGTATAACGACGGCATGGTTAATATTTTATATTTTATAAAAGAAGATTTACAGCTGTCTCTCGTTTTTAATTTACACATCGCTCTAACGCATTTTTTTTTGTGACCTGAATATATTTTCTTTCTTGCTGCAATTTCCCCAGAATATGATTCCATATCTAAGATGCGATTCTACATAGGCATAATATACAGTTAACAGTGATTCAATGTTTAAGGTGCTAGACAATTTCCATAGAATATATGCCGCTTTACTTATTTTGTTACACACTATGTCCGATTGATAAGTCCATGTTAATCTAGTGTCGATTGTCAAGCCTAAAAACTTTGTGTAGTCAACTTTTTCAATTTTGTTTCCTCTGTGTATTACTTTTAAATTTAAATCATTTGCACATCTTTGATAGAACTTTATAAATTTAGTTTTATCCCAAATTAACTTGTAAATTATTTTTTTGCAATTCCTCAATTATTTGTGTTAGTGTTAAATTTAATTCGTCTTCTAGATCATGTTTAACACTTTTAATGATAGCTGTGCTATCATCGGCAAATAAAACCATGGGGTGTGAAACACATTTAGGTAAGTCATTTATGTAAATAAGAAATAACAATGGTCCTAACACACTTCCCTGTGGAACGCCATACCGAACATATCGAGAATTAGATGTGTAAATTTTTTTCTTCTCTCATTTTTATGTCGATTCGAGTTATTTGTGTTACTTGTTGTCTATTGGTCAGGTATGTCCGAATCAGATTTAAAATATTACCTCTTATTCCGTAATATTCAACTTTATGCAATAATATTTGGTGGTCTACATAGTCAAAAGCTTTACTCATGTCTAAAAACAGAGCGCAGATATCTATTTTATTATCAATGTTTTTTGATTATTAAATTTAATAAATCATATATTGCTCTATTAATTGATTTATTTTTCCTGAATCCCTTCTGTTCATCCACTAATAGATTAAATTTTTCGAGATAATTACTCAGGTATTTATGCATAATCTTTTCAAAAATCTTCGATATAACTGGTGTAAGGGCAATGGGTCTATAGCTGCTTATATCATCTTTCGAACCCTTTTTTTTATAAAGTGGTTTAATAACAGTTGTTTTAAGACCCTCTGGGTAAACACCAACTTGTACACATAAGTTAAATATGTAACTTAAATGTGGAGAAACACTCTTGTTGACTAACTTAATGACACGTGTAGAAAGTTCATCGTATCCAACGCTATTTGTGTTTTTTTAGTGACTTTATAGCATTTGAAACATCTAGAGAAATGATTGGTGGCATAAAAAATGAATGCGCAGATGCTTCTAATGTGATATTTTTATTATTTCTTAAAACTTGAGATGCCAATACTTGGTCAGTATAATAATTATTAAATGCATCGGCAATGTCTTTCGGATTATTGATGATAGCATTATCATCACCAAAGTTTATTTTTTCAATGTATTCTTGAGGGTGATAACTCTTATTTCCATTAATAATTTGCCAAATAGTTTTACATTTGTTATTTGATAATTTAATTCTATAATTATTTCTAGCTTTTTGTGTAAGCTTAATAACCTTTTTAAGTCTATGAGTGTATGTTTTTAGAAGCAGTCTTGTTTGCTCATTGGGATTTAGCCTGTATCTCCATAGCATTTTTCTCTGTGTTTTAGAACATAACTTGATGCTTTTAGTCAGCCATTTAACCCGTTTATTTAATTGGATAGTAATTGTGTTAATGGGAAAACACAAATCATAAATTAATTTAAAAGTTTCTATAAATTTATTGTAGGCATCATTAGGTTCATTTGCTGTATACAACTCAGAAAATGTAAGTGATTCAATGTATGATTTAAATTTATTCATATTTTCCTTGCTATAATCTCGACGTCTTATTTTCCATGTGTCAATAATGAATTTTTTCGCAACAGGATATTTACACAGCTGTGCAGTGTGGTCCGATAAGCCTAAATTATAAACTTCTCCTTTACAAGCAATAGGTGCATTATAAGCAAAATTGTCTAAACATGTGTTACTTTTCAATCTTGTTGGTTCCTTTAATAATAATGAAGATTAAAATTTAATAAGAAATTACTGAACTCTAATGCCAGGTTATTTCTTTTCAGTATATCAATATTAAAATCACCACATAAAATAATTTTTTTGTTTATTTTTATTCAATTTGCGTAAAATAATATCAAGTTTTTCGTAAAATACTGAGATATTACTTAATTTGGGAACTCTGTACAGACATATAATTATAGTTGAATAATTTATGAGTTCAATAGCACAGCATTCTATGACTTCTGGCACGCAATAGTTTGATATATATTGTAAGTTTTTGAAGGATATACCTTTCCTTACAAATATACAACTACCACCCCTTTTGATGTTTCGTGTATAGATAGCTGCCAGAGTGTAGTTTGGTAGTGTTAAAAATTCATTATTACCGGATGATATAAAGTGTTCAGTTATGCATACAATATCAACGTGCTGTTTTATTTTAACAGATATATCCTCTAAGTGTAAAGTTAACAAATCACTTTTATTTAAGAGACCGGCAATATTTTGGTGCAGTATGTATAAAAATCTATTGGAGAAAAAAATTTTCACTATTAATATCTATATTTTTTACACTTTGTTTGTTGGTTGGTATTGTATTAGTACTATTAATAATTATGTTGCCATTATTATCATCATCTTTTGAATTATAAAATATTATCTCGTTAATTTTATCACGTAAGTTACAGAAAATTGTCCTAAGTCCTAAGTTATTTAAGTGTCCAGACTTTCTATTAAACATCTTCTCGTCGTATGTGAGGTTACGGTTGGAATCAAGTATATACGCATATTCATATGCTTCACAGTCTAAATATAATAGATTATTAAAAGTCTCTATTCTCCAATTGTACAGGTTTTTAAGCGGTCCACAATTATACGTCGGCAGACATATTATTATATTTGTGTTATGCAAATTGACACATTTGTTTCTAATATAAGACACTAATCTATAATTGTTATTTGTTGTTCGGAAATCTGCTTCTCCAATCATTATTACACAGTAGTCATTTTTCGTAAAACGTTTTAATTTATTCTCCAAACTAGAAAATATAAAACACGTAGACACAGCAAGTTTTTGTCATTTAAACATAAATGAAACCTAGCGATGGATACTTCTTAATGCAATCAATCCAAGAGACTTGAAATTTCGTTATGTTAAGCGTTTTACTAAAAAAAACTACACTTTTCAACCCACTTAGCGCAATCCGCCAATTTAGAGAAGCATCAACCGAGAGCGCTTACAAACGGCAAAAATCAGTGTTGCCAATATGAAAGTACATTAACAAGCAATACTCACTGTTTTACAATACATGACCTTCAGCGAGGTCAGGTTCAGTCCGGAAACTAGGACCTTGTCGATGACGTCATCGAACTTCCTTATGGGGATAGCGATCTGTGGGAAAATTCATTATTAGTTCATCCAAAGGCTTCAATGGGATTATTTAGTGTAGTACAAGAAACAGCAACCCTTTTCTAATTTTTTTATGTGAGAATATGGCAAGCGAGCAGGCGGTTCACCTGATGTTAAGTATTAACCACTGCCCATTGACATTTGCAACACCCTTAGCTTTGCAGATGCGTGATTGACACCTTTTAACAAAGTTAGCCCCGTCTACCTCACTCACCAGATGAAACGCAGAAATTTACACATATAACACTTTCACTTCACGTCGGTCTTCTGTGAGGTCGTGGTACTTCCCCAGACGGAACTGCCCATTCAAGCAACAACGAACACTGTTGTGTGGTCCTAGCACAGTTATGACGCGATAGCTCCGGGCGCTAGCTTTTAATTTAATAGGAGCAACCTGCGTTCAAACCCCGGTACCGGGCTACCAATGAAACTGTTAGTTACAATTTTAAGTGCTTTAAAACTTATCACGTGCTCAGTAAATGAAAACATGCATTTTTTAGATGTAATTAAAAAATATTCCAGCCTTTATAGCAGAGCTCTCTTTAGCAAAGCTATGGCCAGCTTTTGCATTCAAAAAAAAGCAACGAATGTTCGAAATCCAATGAAGAGTGAACTTTAACGCTTCGCAATAGAACTCACAATGTTGACGGAGACCTCCAGACTTTAGCAGAGCTCTCTTAAGCAAAGCTACGGACAGTTTTTTAATTTAAAAAAAAAAACAACGAATGGTCGAAATCCAAGGAAGAATGAACCTTAACGCTTCGCAATAGAACTCACAATGTTGACGGAGACCTCCAGCCCGTTGGGGTAGAAGGCGCCGAGGCGCTCCCAGTCGATGGGCGCCAGGCTCATCTTCCGCCGCCTGGTGATGTTCAGCGTCAGGTGCTTGAACAGCGTCAGGTGCGAGAGCGTCTCCAGCGCCTCGGTGCTGATGCTCCAGTAGTCGACGGTGATGTGCTGCAACCGATGACGTCACTGTAGACGCTTCACCGATGACGTCAATTTTATTTTACACTTTAGACGCGTCATACGCGAACGTCTGTCTACGGTGATATGCTAAAAACAGATGACGTCAATATGACGGGTCATATGTGAACGTCTTTATACTGTTATATGCTGAAACCGATGACGTCACTACAGAAGCGTCATACGCGATTATCTTTCTACGGTGATGTGCTGAAACCGATGACGTCATTATAAAGGCGTCATATGCGAACGTCTTTATACTGTTATATGCCGAAACCGATGACGTCACTATAGAAGCGTCATATGAGATTGTCTTTCTACGGTGATATGCCGAAACCGATGACGTCACTGTACACAATACCTCGGCAACTGCGCAACGGGATCATCAACAATATGCATTAATATGAAGACGCGTCTAAGCCACAATAGTGGGAAGGAATCACTCACTTGCAGTGTGGAGAACACCATGAGACCAACACTGCACCTGGATAACACGGCGTCCATGGGAGAGGTCACACTATTGAAGGACAACGGCCTCGTGTAACTCTCGTAGCGTTTGTGCTGAAATTAAATATGTTATTATTATATATAATAAAATTAAAATAAGCCTCTCCTATGTTTAATAAACAAATTTAGAATTGACTTTGAACGAGAATCACAGATGTGGTCATTTCCACTAACGATTTCGGTCAAGTCCAGTCACTATCTGATTTTCTATCGGCCTTAATTTGTGTCTTGCCCCCCTCCGTACTTAATTAGTATTATACTTTAGTTAGTGTTTGTCGTGTTCTTTTTTTTAGTAGACATCCGGCCAGTAACGGAAACGCCATAATGAAGCTTTAGTGTGTCAGTGTTACGTTGTTTACGTCGTTATAACGATTACACAGATAAAATGAATTTAATGTTTCCTTAAAAAAAAAAACTAGTTATTTTTTTTTTATAAATAATGTATGATAACGCCATCTATTGACAATTTGTTTAAATGGAAGATAGAATGTAAATAGTGGCAAGGGTCAGCTAGTATATTAAACTATATTTATATTCATCCGTCTTATAGCAGTTATATATATATAGAAATGAATTCTTGTACTTACCACGTAGTTCTCTTTCTCAACGGTATTCATAGTGCTCATCTCGCAGCCCATGAATGTGAGTTTCTGTATGCAGTGCAGATGCTTGTATAGAAGGCCCTCGATTATTTTCCTGCGCGAATGAATGGAGTCGAATGATCATAAATAAAATAAAATAGCGACTTTTTACGATCGATAAACACATGTGTTTTATATTTAGGAATGTTTGTTCGAATTGTTTTATAATCGAAATATCGGAATCGAATTTCGAACGCGTCCTGGCGTTCGTATCATCATCCTCCTGCCCTAACCCCACTTAGGTGGGGTCGGCGGCACATGTGAATCATGTTGTAAGCGGTTTTGGCTATGTTTATTTACAATCGACCGTCTGCCTGATGTCAACCCTACTTGACAACCAAACACCCAGATCTGGAACAATTATCTGTGGGTCACACAAATACTTGTCCCGTGTGGGAATCGAACCCACGACACTCGACGCCGAAGCCTAGCTTAGCAACGGCGCCACCGAGTCAAGATGTATTTTAAATATTATGATTTATGAATATGTCGTTTTCAATAGGTGTTCTTATTTAAACGATGTTATTAGAGATGGTCTAATTTATTTAGAACACCGTACCTTTTCAACTTCACGATCGGCGAGAGATAGGTCTGCTTCAAGTAGTTTGGCCCGATGAACACCACTTCGTTGAGCTCCTGCGTATCGAAGAATCTGGAAAGGGAGAACATTGAAAATGGCAGTGGAGAAAATCATCACGTGATATCGAAGCTTCCGGGTTGGCGTATCGGCAATCCATCTCTGGCGTCACTTTAAAATGCTTTAAAAGTAGGTACCATACCTTTGGTAGCATTAAAAAAAAAGATAAATAAGGAGGTAAACGTACACACGTTACACATTACAATTTCGAAATGGAATCGAAAAAAACCCTACATGAGAAAACACCCCCCCCCCCCCCCCTCCTTCGGTCCGATTACACCACAATGACTCGTCCGATGTGTGAGGTAGCCGGAGAGGCCCACTCTCTCAGAGGATGTCAACAGGTTTGTGACGTCTCCAGTGTAATGAGCGTCCACGGGTCAGTGACCAGCAAATAAGCAAATTACTCAGCTGCATTTTGCACTTGGTGCCAACGCGTTTCGAACCCGGGACGCCGTTCCGCGAATGCGACGTCTCCGTCACTAGTCCGTAGCGGCATTTGTTACGAGTTACGAGACGTTAAAATATCGTAAAGCGTCCGATTATTTGAGCGTATGCTCGCAAACTCGTTCCTCGTTTCACAACAACGGAATTTCTAATCGACTTTCCCTTACGAAAATATTCCGAACGGAGCGGGCGAAATGTATGCGCGTGTACAGTTGAGTAACTCGCAATACGATTATGACCGACGATCGTGTTACGAGTCAAGAAGATCTGTATCAATATTGTGAAGAGTGAGATCTTTGTGAGTTTGTATATCAAAAATCAAAGCATATACTTAAACATTTCTTTTACCGTTTAAAAGGTTCATTATCCAGATGGGTTTATGTAAGATGGGCTTAGGGATGTAAGTGTTAATGACGATCCGATTTGCCTAGTAGGTTGTGAACCTATTGCGTGTCTGGGTGTTTATATATCTGTAATACGTATTTATTTAAAAAAAAAAAAAAAGTTTATCACTTATATAGTCCCAGTAGTACAAGCGATATTTAGTTTGGGACCAGAGAGCGGTCCTGAAACAGTTATTATTTATGAAACATATTAGTGGGTTTAAAGTCGATGGTTCAGAATCGTGCTGTCCAGCAATGGACTAAAACAGGCTGGAATGATAATGATGATGAAAATGACGACTATCAACAATTACACATCTCTCTTTAGTTTATTTAGCTGAGATCATTTTAACAAAATCTACGATAAACCTTCTTGGACATTCCGAGAAACTTGTAACATGAGAAAAAAATGTCACTACATATATTTGTCTATGAAAATTGAATCGCACTTGGGCAAAACCAAACGAAATGTAAGTAATAAATAATTCCATCTCCGAAAATCACATCGATAACAATTTTATAACTATGGCGTGTATACGGCATTTTTTGCAGATCTTAGGGTCTAATAATTTAATAAACCTGTTTTAAAAATTTTATTTACGTATGTGGCATACTGATAGTAAACACATACATGCTTTTGAAATTAAAATCATTGGAAATGTCAGTTAAATATAATATAAATCGAAAATTAATTGGAAAAAAAATCTCATCCATTTCGTTCGTGACTACAATTTTTGGGAAAACCACGAAATATTCGAGAAGATCCCAGACATTTCAGACACGTTGTTCCTTAAACAATCTTACGGATTATTCAAAAAATTGACTTTGCAAACAATTCACAGTGTCCACGGTCACGTGTGGTCTTGTCCCGTGGCCATGAGGCCATGAATATTGTAATGTTCGAAAGGTCCCGGATTAAAATTTAAAAGTCAAATGCGATAGAGCGCTTACATCGTTTTGTTCAACTGGCTGAATACCTCGTCAGGCCATATTCTGCCGTTGCCAATAAGAAGAATGCTTATAATATGAAATGAATGATGAAATGAAAATGAAATTTCTTTTACCAACAATATTCAACAGCGTTTAAGACTGACTCAATGGAAAATAAAAAGGAGGGAATAATAATCAATTTTTAATTAATTGATTCAATAACAAGTTTTTGAAGTCGGCTAAATGACCAGCACTCTATTTTATCCACCAGTACTAATGTCTACAGCAAAACAGTATCGCAGAAGCGGCTCTCCCACAGTTGATCGGATGATCGCTATCGCTATCCTACTCTATTCCGTTGACCATTTCAGTTTATTAATAATAATAAATATTTCAGGACATATTTTCCGACCTTACAGAAGAGATGCTTAGTAAACTCGAGCGCCTCCAAAACCTTTCTATTAGATTTATCTTCAACCTACGCATGTCTCATTCATGACCATGTCTCTTCTTATCGTACTCAGTTAAATTGGCTCCCGATCCGTCGTCGAAGGGATTTTCACGTTCTCCTCCTACTTTATTCTATCCTGTTTAACCCTTCGACTCCTTCGTATCTAAAAGAAAGTTTTGAATACCAGTCCATTTCTATTGATCGTTCACTCCGTTCTTCTCGTTATCGCTCGCTTTCTATGCCTTCTCATGCCACTGATTTCTATGCCTTTTCTTTTACTGTCCAAGCTGTGAAGCTCTGGAACTCACTCCCTGTGTCTATAAGACAAGCCCCGTCCCTTTACACTTTTAAGAAGCACCTGAAAGCCCATCTCCTTTCCCTTCCTGTTTAATTTCATCCCAACTTTACTTTTTCCTCTGAGCTTTGGTTGTCAGTTTTATTTTTTTTTGCTACTTTCACACTTATTAATAAGTATTTGTTAATATGCATATATTTATAGTACTAGTTATTTGTTATTATATAGATATGTATTACATCGATGATTTCATTTTTCTACATATATATTAATGTAATTATTTTTGCACTATTATCCCGCAACTTTATTATCTAATCCTATACCCTAAGGTTACCTGGAAGAAGAGCAATAAGGCCGCCTGTATGTACACTATCTTTCCGATATTTTCTTCCTTGTATTTCCTTGTGTGCAATAAAGTATATTCAATCAATCAATCAATATTTTTACATGCCGTTATCTTAGTCCCAAACTAAGCAAAGCTCGTAGTATGGATACAAGGTAACTGATAAACATACTTAAAAATACTTTTCTTTTGCGAATTCATATTATACTGATTAGCGCCCATTCGTGCAACATTCGTGCAACAGTGAACAACAGTTCACTGTTGCACGAATAGGTAGGTCCATCCGGATAATTACCACTACCTCACGGGAAACCGGCGTGAAGTAGAAGCGTTATACTTCTGCGTTTCGTCTGGTGAATAAGGTAGCCGGGGTATTATTAAAAGATGGCAACGCGTACATGTGGGGGCGGTTCACTTAACATCAGGTGAACCGACAGCTCACTTGCCACCTTTTCACGTAACAGTAGGGGGACAGGGCCGCTAACTACTACGCCAGTCGGATCTCCATCATCGCAGAGGCGGTTGTTTTGTAACGCGCTCGGCTAATCGCCATCAAATACGTGCACAATCTAATTACGCGCCGTTTTCTTTACACAACAGCTGTTACGTAATACTTTACGTATTACGCACGGTTCAATGTTAATGTCGCGTTGCAGTACACTTTAAGCGTATCGCAGACGTAGATATGATGGAGACGTATACAGCGTGTCGTTACCATCGCGACAATAAATGAAGACACGTCTAACGCTACTTGCCAATAATCATAAAAAAATATTAACGTTAAACAAAATCCATAATTAAAAAAAAATATTTTTCAAACAAAGTATTTAAGTAAAAAAGAAAAATTTTACACCTATACAACTCGCGCCACAGCGTCGCATTACAAGCCTCTCCTTCTAACAGTATGTTTTGTCTCTTTTAAATTCATTCAACCCATTCATATGCTTTGTGACCTTTACAAATGAACTTTACGTTACAGTTTTATACATAAGGGTGTTCTAAAATTGTTTGTTTTTGAAAATATAATAACTCGGTAAATATTGATGTTTGTAGAATGTAAATGTTTAATACAATTTTAAAAAGTTATCCTCTATATGTGTGTTCATTTATTGTCGCGGTGGTAACGACACGCTGTATATTATGCTATGTTATAAAGGGTGTATATGTTGGGTCGCAACCCTTGTTCCGTCCTAACAGTGTAGGACGACCCCCCTCTAGATGGAGTGACGACCTGTGCAAATGTGCGGGAAGTCGATGGATGCAGGTGGCTCAGGATCCTGCTTCGTTGCAGTCTATGTAGGAGGGAGGAGGGGGGGGGGGGGGGGGGGCTTATGTTCAACAGTGAACTTTAACAGGCTGAAATGATGATGATGAAGATAACGGTTTTTATGCTATATTATTATATTTACTATTCGTCAAGCGTGATAGAGTAGATAATTTTTTATGTCAAATAATAATAGAGAGTTATTCAACTATTCGCAATGGCGACTATTCGCGGCATCTGTACCTAGGATTGAAAATTAAATTAACCCAACTGCGTACTAACTAAAAATTTTAAGAGCCAATGTTATGATGTTTTAATAGGGCATTTTTCAATTCGCTTTTAAACTATTTCACAATTGATCACCGTCATACGTTAAGAGACACTCGCGAGGAATTCCATTAACGTAAGAATGATCGGAAGCGACCCACAGCGTCACAAAGGTACGTTCATAAGCTGACAAATACATTACTCTTCTTGAGTTGCATACACTTGGGCCATGAAGACAACACAGACTTCTTTTCAATTTTTTTTTGTGAGAAGCATATTATCTATTTTCTCTATTTTAGTTCTACCAAGTATAAAAGCATGTTTTTTTAAACATTTTTTTGAAGGCGTCCGTCGCACAGGTGCCGGGTGGGTATCGGAAAATAGCTATTCCCGAAGGTCCCGAACAGGATAATGGGAGAAACTATTTAAACATTAGCATTGCAACGGGTCTTTGAAGAGTGTGCAAAGTTTGATTCAAATATGATAATTCAAAGTGGGGCAAAATAACGTTCAAAGATTCCGTTACATACATACCTGTGAAACTAACATAAAGCGTGTTTGAAGAAAGAAGCCATTAGTCACTCACTGCGGCAGTATGTAGTTGAGGAACTCCTCGAGCTCCAGCTGCAGATCGCTGCAGTTGATGTGCACGTGCAGACGGCGCGTGTACTTCCTGAAGATGCGCGTCAGGAACATACTCCTGTCCAGCTCAGTCACCCGAAGCTTCAGCGTCTCCCTATAGCGAGCGTATGGCTGATTAGTCCTTCGAACGTCGACAGAGGATTGGATCGTTACATTAAGCTATCTCTGAGGCTTTATATACAGCGTGTCTTTACAATCGCGACAAAAAATGAACACACATATAGGGGATAACTTTTTAAAATTGTATTAAACATTTACAATCTTTAAACATCAATATTTACAGAGTTATTCAATTTTCCAAAACAAAGAATTTTAGGACAGCCTTACGTATAAAACTGTAACGTAAAGTTCAGTACCCGGAGGACCGAGCTTTGCTATATATATATATATATATATATATATACAAGAATTGCTCGTTTAAAGGATAAGATTTGTAAAGGTCACAAAGCATATGAATAGGTTGAATGAATTTAAAAGAGACAAAACATACTGTTAGAAGGAGAGGCTTGTAATGCGACGCTGTGGTGCGAGTTGTATAGGATGTTACAAATTTTGTTTCTTTTTTACTTAATTAGTTTGTTTGAAAAAATTTTTTTTTAATTATGGATTTTGTTTAATGTTAATATTTTTTTATGATTATTGGCAAGTAGCGTTAGACGTGTGTTCATTTATTGTCGCGATGGTAACGACACGCTGTATAATAAGTAATGCTTTAGACAATTTATCTACACACACGAAGATTCCTATTAAGTGCAGAAAGAAACACTAAAAATAAAAATTTAAATCAATATATGATACAACACGAAAACATTATATAATTGTTATGTTACATAATTACTATAATTTCTCGTTACTTTTCCTGTTTTTTTATATTTGTGGCATCTCTATATTAATACTCAAAGGTTGTTATAATTTAATTAATCAAACACCATTTTAAGCTGATGTCCACCTCTATTGACGTAAAACAGACACAGAATGAAGTCGATGTTTTCATTATACAAACAATACTTTCGTTTTAAGACTTTTTATAACAAATGTATGAATAAATATTAAATATTTTATTTATATGGCCGGCCCATCGCCACTTCACCTTGCTAATCCTCTGAGCTATGTCGGTTATCTTAGTTCTACTGCGGATGTCTTTGTTACGAACTCTATCACGCAGAGAGATACCGAGCATAGCCCGCTCCATAGCTCGCTGAGCGACTTTGAGCTTCCTCATACGGCCAGCAGTGAAGGACCAAGTCTCGGTTCCGTAGGTCATTACTGGCAACACACATTGATTCAAGACTTTAGTCTTCAAACATGGAGGTATATTCGCCATATAGCTCGTAGAACCGATAACCGTTGGGGAAGAAAGGTTCTCGAGTGGCAGCCTCGTACTGGCCATCGCAGTGTGGGACGACCCCCCACTAGATGGAGTGACGACCTGTGCAAATGTGCGGGAAGTCGATGGATGCAGGTGGCTCAGGATCGTACTTCGTGGCAGTCTATGGGGGAGGCCTATGTTCAGCAGTGGACTCAAACAGGCTGAAGTGATGATGATGACGCTTTTATTTATACATTTGTTATAAAAAGTAGTAAATGTATATTAAATAATGCCACCTACTGACAATTTGTTTTATTTAAATGAAAGATTGTATTTGTTTAAATCAAAGTAGACTGAATTTTACCGTCATTCGTCAATATATAATAAGATACCTTGTATTCATAAATACTTATTTGCACATTATAACATTAGTATTCGATAACTGATCACGGCACCTAGTGCGCGAAAAATTTGCACCAGTCAACTCGGAGTCTAAGTCGTATCAATAATACACGGCAAATAATTAGCTAAGTTGATTATTACTGTTGAATCACTACATTTTTTGAAAAGAAAGCGATACTTTAGCGAACATTTTCATCGGTCGAAAGAGCACGCGGGCACTCCCACCAGTCGCGACATACCACACCAAGGGACTTACCCGCCCCGCATGCGATGAAAACAAGCACTTATGCACAAATGAAACTGAATTGTGCATTTTTTTTATTTATTTAGTTTACCAGCAATCCTACGATTTTCTAGGGAAGTATGTTTAAAATGTTTCAGTCTATCTTTGTGGGAAAACCCTTTCCTATATTTGTTAGAAGAATGGGCTAAATGCCAGAGATGTCTCCTCTGAATTCGTTCCAAACTCATAGTGACATGCATAGTGCGGTTTCCATACAATACGACAGTATTGAATCCAGAATGTTCAATAAAGTCAATATATTTTAATACAACAAATTCATGGATTCCATTGCCGTTTATTTATATTTTTGTTTGTTTGATATTAATGTTTTAACCTTTAGAGACAATGATAAATGCCCGCTCTGTTAACTTAATGTTAAGTGACCATCGCCATCCACGGACAACCCGAACAACACAGCTATGAGGCTGAGAAATTAAGACATATTTTTAGACAACGTTATCTAGTGCGAAACTAAGCAAAGCTTATACTGATGATAAATATACTCAACCATAATTTGCTTTGTAAATAATTACATATCCTTACTAATCCTTACTTCTTTACTAATATTATAAAGGCGAAAGTTTGTATGCTTGGATGGATGTTTGTTACTCTTTCACACAAAAACTACTGAATAGATTTTAATGAACCTTTACAATAATATACCTAATACATCAGAATAAAACATAGGTTATACTATATAAAGATATTATGCGAATTGTACAAAATATAAGTAATGATAACTGTCACCTACGTAGTGTTTAATAAAAAGCCCATTGCTAATTCCCCTGCGGATAACGGCTAGTTATAGATTTATAAAAAAATATTAGAATATATTCATCACACGATATTTTAGTTGGAATCGAAGCCACACAATCTGATAACTATCCACTATGCCAATAGGTTCGTCAAAGCGCAAATACACTGTTAACAGAATTATGTTTATATACTTATATTTGCAGGTCTGCTAACCTGCAAATAACACGATACTTTATCAAGATCAAATTGCGGTGTACCGACACCAATGGCATTAAACATAATAATTACATCCGACAGTACAATCTACATCAATACTAATAAATGGAGAGCCATTATTTTTGTTATACTGCGGAAACTGCAGAACCGATCGGAATAATACTTATACTATAAGATGCAGTGTGTTTCGAAAAAAGGTTTTAGCATAATATGATAATATAAAACCTATATTTTGACTTATAGATGTTCACATAGAGCACTATCTGTGGTAGGGTCGCGCAACAGTCACGTAGACATGCATTTTGTGTCTTGTATTAACTGAGACTGTTAAAGCTTCATCGAACGCAGAACCGGTGGGCTAGCCAGAACCCACGGGTTTGAGGCCCTCGACAGCGAATAGGGCAGCGCATGTGCTCATGCGTGCGTTAGCTAAGGAGTGTCGCCTACGGGCTATCGAGGTTCGGTGCGGACCGTGACCCCGATAGCCGTTGACTGTGCTATAGACAGGTCGGTAGTAGTAAGTACCACGACCTCACAGAAGACCGGCGTGAAGTGGAAGTGTTATACTTCCGCGTTTCGTCTGGTGAGTGAGGTAGCCGGAGCCCAATTTTTTGTCCATGATCCATTGGTTGTCCATAATCCATTGATGATTAATGTCCATGGGCGGCGGTTATGAATTAACATCAGGTAAACCACCAGCTCGTGTGCCACCTTCTCAGAGAAAAAAACGTTTAAAATCTCACACACTGCATCAATCGTAATGTAAACTGTCACAAAACTATCACCATGTGTTTGTTTTATTGTTTGTACGTATCGATTTCATAATTTATGATCTTATATAATCTTATTTATACATAAAAATGAAGCTTCCGTATGTTTGTGTCCACTAAACTCGCTAACTGACCGATGAATTGACTCGATATTTGTTCAGAACACAGCTACTGAACAGGAGAGTGTTTTTTTTATCTTGAACATGAAACCAGTTAATAAAAACGTTCCTCAAAACGTGACAGCCGAAACTCCTTAGCGGTTGCAACATAAATAGCGTTGTATTTTCTCAGCGGACCGACCTTTGAAGTCGTCGGTTGCCATAGAAACGGCCCCGCGAAGCCTTGCTCCGCGAAAGCAAATCCCAACGAGAGACTGCCCAGACGGCGATCTTTATTTACGGTCCCGATCGATATAACAACCCGCCGATATTACCTTATAAGACCTTAAGAATACCGGTCGGTTTCTGCAACACTGACGGCCGGTTTCTGAAACACTGATCATCGTAGATGTCAACTAATGAACTGTCAAATAGCTTTTCAAATTTCATTTTAACTGCCAAAAGGTTGGTTAAACTCTCAGAATTGACCAGAATGATCTTCTTAATCATCAGGATGATAAATTCAAAGAGTTTAACCATCCTTTGCAACTAAAATGTAATTTGAAAAGCCATTTGACAGCTGATTAGTTGACATCTACGATGATCAGTGTTTCAGAAACCGGGCGTGATCATCGTATAAATTAACTAATCAGTTGTCAAATGGCTTATCGAATGTTATTTGAGTTGGCTAAAGGATTGTCTAACTCTCTGAATTGATCAGAATGTAACAATGCGAATGAAACTAAAACATACGCCTGTGTTTTATTTGGTTTCAGATTTGGCAATCTATTGGAGTAGACATGTCATTACCGTGTACAGATGAAGGCAGGGCCAGACCCCTGATGATTCCGTGACACAGTTGGCGAGGTATTGATAGGTGTGGAGATATATATTATTCACAGGCTAACGATAAGGCGGTTCAACCTGTCCTTCAATTCTATAAATAGAAGTTTATTAGTTGGAAAAATGTAAATAGTTTCAACTATAACAGACGAACGTCTCATTGCCGACGCTTTACTCGACATCTGAAAGACTAGCAGCAGAGTTTTTACATTCAAAAAGTGAGCAACAGTGGCTATCAAATACGCCAATTTACGAGAAGAAGGCATTAATGAAAATGGCAAAAATTATTTTATGTCACAAGTGATGTCTTAAGTTTTCAAGCTTTAACTTCGCAAACGCACGAGTTAAATTCTACTTAAATAATACTAGACATCGAGTACGGCCTCAACACTTTCGTCCGCCCTTTGTTACTTTTTT